AACATTTCCAAATCGGGAATGAAAAGTAATATACTCGGTAATATACATCTACAAAATTTCTGTTATCTTATCACCTCGCTTATCACAGAGGGTTTCGAAAATATTATAATTAATATTTCAGATGACTAAAACTTACAAGGGGTAATTTCTGGGATCATGTTTACATGAACTTTTTTTACTATTTTTGTTCCTAGAATCTGTGCTTGTATTTCTATGTAATTTCGGGACACCCTGTATAATATATACCTACCGCACATAGGCAACTTATTTACAATAAGAAAGCACAAAATATTATTATAGTCATCGACTATCTAGGTATAATCATAATTTACTCGATATTTTATGTAGAAGACGAAGGTCATCTGGATTATTGTTAATCTGTAGGTATATTTTTATCTGTATTTTCATATCAATTATTATTCATCGTAACCTGTTATTTTGGCACACCATATGATAGTGATACCTACATAAAATGATACCCTGAAATGCACTCGTAAATACCTATATTTATAAGTAGGTAATTCCAAGTATTTTTGTAAAACGAGTAAATTTTTTTTTCCTCCGATTGGCAGCAAATATTAATTTTGCTGACACATATCAATCAGCAAAGTATTACTTTTCCTGCCTAGGCAGCAAAGTGGGTACTTTGCTGATTGATATGTATCAGCAAAATTAAAAATCCATAAATCGTTTATGATTTCCTTCATATTTCATCCGAGACTTCTCCGGCAACAAATTCAACTCTATATTTTTTGCCACCTCCCCTATTAATGGAGGTGTAAAAGTATACTTCCAGGTCGCTATCACTGTCCATTATATAATAATTTAAGTATACCGATATTGTTTCGCACAACTGTCAGAAATTTCATGAATTGTCAAACCAACAACTACGATTTCTATCAAATTTTATTTTAATTGAACACTATACAGGAAGAATACAGAAATTGTGGGAATTGTATTAATTCGCAAACACAATATTCTCCCATATCATTATGAACAATCGGAGAAAAAATCATATGTTCAACTCGGCAGCACAGTAGATTGACTGCCTTTGCTGGATTCCTAGCCTCGCTACGCTCGGCTATGAATTCAGCCACGGCAGTCAATCTACTACTTTGCTGCCTAGTTAAACAAATAACTATTTTCAATATCTCGATCGTACTAACATGAGCTCTACGTCCTGGTTCATTGTAACTTCTTGGCGACTCCTTGGTGAAGACATCGAACATCAACTTATGGTATAGGCATCGGTATAGGTATATTACATATATCTAATATCTAATATACAGGGTGTATTTAAATAACACCGAAAAAATTCAAGGGGTGATTCCTTGTGATAATTTAGGAAATAACTCGGAAAATAAAGTTCATATAAACACGAGTATAAACATGATGTCTCCTAACTTGCTTCGTTTTCGAGATACAGGGTATTTATATTTCCATAAAATTCAATTTTCGATTCATTTCTCATTAATTGTCTTTTCATCGATTTCAATGAAACGTTAATAGTAATATCGAGCTTCTTCTAGTGCAATTAGATTCGACATAATATTTCCAGTGGCGTCACACTGGGTAAATTTATCGATATTCATGGTGAATGTCATTGTACGCCACCGGTTTTTCTTCGAGTTTCATATTTTTATTAGATTGAACTATTGAAGTAACAACTTTTTTATCCTCTGTGTGATTTATGTATTTAGCTTAGTATTTGACGAAACAATAAAAATTCGATTTGACCCCAAATAATAATATAATAATGTAGATGTTTTCAAGTCTTCCATTGAGATTACTCAATAACCCCAATTAAGTCGAATCATTTTGAAATTTTATTGGGGCTTTCTGAGTCTCCACCCATACTGAATTTTGGCACCATGGAAGCTTATACAGGGGGGTTATAAATAAAAACAATTAATACTTCCAACTTCAACATCCAGTATCTCAAAAACGGAGCAAGTCATGACACATGTTTTTATATGAACTTTATTTGCTAGAATATCACGAGGAAACACCCCATGAATTTTTTCGGTGTTATTTAGATACACCCTGTATAAAATTTTCCTGTCCCAGTCACGGTGTTTGTTGCCAAACTCCGAGAAAGAATTGATATTTTTATCACATAGAGAATGCGAATTCTCAATGCTTTTCTTTGTATATAAGTGTATCCATTTTCTCATGTTCATGATTTATCTGAGAATATTCCTTTTTAATTTTTAAACAGACTCGCATAGACTATACTATAGACCATAATATTATTATTGTAAGCAGGTTTATGATTGAGGCATGATAAAATAAGTAATAGCTATAACTATAATGACACGGCAGATATTCAAGGAATTTAAACTCAAATTCATATTGAAGGAAAGGACTTTATTAGGGAATTTAAGGGAAATTCATCAGCGACCCAAAAAGATTCGGCCATTGTTCACCAGCTATTCTTGTCCATGAAATACTTACCTAGTTTAATTCTGTAATTTTTGGTATACTTAGGTGTACATTAATATTGGTGTATATACCGGGTGTCCCAGTATACCTGTTCCAATGGATTATCTCAGTCATTTCGAAAGTAACAAATTTGAAAATTTCATGATCCCCAATTCGTTCAAGGAACCTTCAACTGAAAAAAACGAAAATTGAAAGTCACTTCCGGTTTGACCGGAAGTGACCCTAACTTCTGTATTTCAAATAGCACCCTGTATATTTTTTGCAATGTTTGTTTTCTACTCAAAATTGCCTTTCCAACGATGTATCACACTTTGTATTTTACATTTGATATGATAAAGAAAACGACAAATTGAAATTTGGAATTGAAATCAGTATCATATCCAATTTCTCTTGAATTGTGCAGTTATATCATATCATTTTCACGGTTATTCATTCTTGAATGTCGCACACAACCATTGAGAATTATTAACTGTCGAAGATACAACAAATGTATTCAAATGTTTCCATGGCACACTACAAAATTGTTCATGAATCATCAATTATTGAGGAACAAATCATTATGTACACAAAATATCGTAGTCTACTGCAATTCTTTCGATTTCAAATTTCAATTTTCGTTTTCTCTATCAAATCAATTGTAAAATACAAAGTGTGATACATCGTTGGATAGGTAATTTTGAGTAGAAAGCAAGAATTGCAAAAAATATACAGGGTGCTTTTTGAAATGAAGAAGTCAGAGTCACTTCCGGTGAGACCGGAAGTGACTTTCAATTTTCGTTTTCCTCAGTTGAAGGTTCCTTGAACGAATTGGAGATCATGAAATTTTCAAATTTGTTACTTTCGAAATGATTGAGATAATCCATTGGAACAGGTATACTGGGACACCCGATATATGGGGTGGCATTGGAATTAGTGCAAAAATTTCAAACCCTGAGAAAGTTCGACGTATACTCTATAGAATGGGACCAATTCGGGGACCAATAAAAATATGTAATGATCAAGATGATCAAGATCAATTCTGACGTGACCTCTGTCCCCGTGCGGAAGGCAAAATCACACGGGGCGGAATTCAATCAAAGAAATTGTTTCAAAGTGGCGTACCTACTTGATTTTTTTCTCGTTTTTTGTATATATTATATCATATCGATGTGCTGAATATACAGGGTGTCCGAAAATTATGCGCAAAAATCGAGGAGGTGATTCTGCATGAGAAATCATGAGATTTATTTCATATATATACGTGGGTCTGGAAATGCATAGTTTTCAAGATACACTGTGTTGAACTAAAAAAAAATTGTTTTTTTATTAATATCTTGAATATCCTTCCACTGATTCTCTTGAAATTTGGCAATGATATTCTTTGTCGTGAGGGGCTGATTTCGAGGCTGATTCAGCCATAATTGAATTATAATTGTGGCATTTTTGGCTCCTGAATTGATTTGAAATTTTTCCTCGTTTTCGTGAAAAAAAAACAATTTATTGTATAAATTTGTGCAAAACATTCCTTCAAAAACTGGGGTGAAAATAAATGTGTGATCCATGTACATAGATATAGAATAAAAACGAAGATTCATTTTCTTCAAATATTTCATAATACATGTTTGACACACTTATGCAATAAATTGGTGTTTATTTTTCCATGGAAATGAAGCAAAATATGAAAACAATACAGAAGATACAGAATTCCAAAAAATTAGTGGCGCACATTTTATTGACAATAATATTCGGTAGGTTGCTTCTCGGGACGCCACTGGATTTTATAATTCCAATTGAATTATGGCTATATCACGAGCTATATCAGCTCCTCGATCAGCTCCTCATGACAAAGAATATCATTGCCAAATTTCAAGATAATCGGTGGAAGAACATTTGAGATATTCATAAAAAACTGATTTTTTTAAAGTTCAACACACTGTATGTTGAAAACTATGCATTTCCGGACCCACGTATGTACATATAAAGTGAATTTCTTAATTTATCATGTAGAATCACCCCCTTGATTTTTTTACGCATAATTTCCGGATACCCTGTGTATTATAGAGCTCGTAATAATTAATAGAGGTATAGAGGTACTTATACATTTAAGTACAGGGGTTGTTTCTCTGGTTGTCCAAATGAAATATTCGCAGATTGGTAACAATAAATATTTATTTAAAACTCGAAGTTTCAATACAAAAAAAATATTGAAAGAATTATTGTATTTTTCGTCAAAAGTCGAAAACGCGAGCTCTATTTTTATTTTATTCCTCCATCTTATAACAAGAAGTGTTTAAAATACTGCTAGTTTGCTGGTTTATAACATTAGAAATACACAGAAAAAATTAGAGACAAATTCGTGAAAATTTCTTGTTATTTTCACCCTCCCTACCAACCTACCATTTCGCTACCATGTCATTATGAATGAAGAAATTACACAGAAAGATCAAGTTCAGGTCCTCAGGTGGTTGAATGTGGAAGTTAATGAATCGTCGATAGAAGACGATCCAATTTCCCTAGTTTCCCCGGAATAGACCCGACTATACCGGAATGACGATAAAGGGGTGGAAAACAAAGCCTACCTCGTCCCACTTAATGAATTTCTCCCCATTCTGCAGGGCCTGGGGCACCTCAATGGGCTTCACGGACACCGCATTCGAAGGGTAGCCCCTTCCTCCTACGGACACGGACATCGTCGTAACAGTCACTAATCGAGGCACATCTTTACGATCGGCCAACTTCCACCGAGATTTACTGAGACGAGAATCTCGACTGATAAAGGGTGCTAATGGTGCTATGCATTATTCGCATTGTTGTGCAAGATCGGCAAAGTCAATGACAGTTTTGGTGGTCAATCGTGCTGAGCGATTCGGATTTGTTTTGCGGATCAGCCGTCACCATCTTGAAGCTGCGACCGTGCTGTTCCGCGAAGAGATACCGACTGGGCTGTTGATTGTGGCGCCGTTACGCCGTTGCCGATTCTGGCGTTGTGTCGGGAGTTTCTCGAATAATTGATTTTGTGGGCTTCCACCATCCCACTGTAGGCTGTCTAGAGTGTCTAGTCAACAAAGACAAAACCTTCCTCATTGAATGTGAAAAAAATTCGAGAACTGTTGCCAAGTCCATATTTATGTTGTCAACATTTCTCCCTCGTTTGTTTCTGATTTGCCTGGCTGGTATTGGAGCCTTGGAAGAGAAGGCGGTATGGAGGGTACTGGTACTATCATCCGCGAAGCTGAGTACTGGACATGAAGTTGCTTCCAACAAATCGTTGATATGGAGTAGAAATAGTGTTCGTGCTAGAATTGATCCTTGCGGAACACCAGCATTTATGATAAGAGAGTCAGATGAAACTCCGTCGACCACTACATAAAGAGACCTGTTTGAGAGAAAACTAGCTAGCAGAGAACATAACTGGGGAGGCAAGCCATAAGATGGAAGCTTGGCGTGGAGTCCGTGTGGTGCCAGACTCGATCGAATGCCTTGGAGATATCAAGTGTCACGGCTGAGGTTTCACCATATTTTCAATAGATTGCTGCCATATGTGAGACGTAAGCGAGCAGGTCACCATCAGTTTGATCTCTGATGACGACAGCCATATTGCCTATGGTTGATATAATTCCTGAATGTTCCAGGTATTTCATGAGATCGATGTTGATAGCTTTCTCCATGATCTTTGAAATAACACATCGCAGTGTGATCGGTCTGATGTAGTTGCTAGCTATAGTGTCTTATTATTTTTACCTTTTTTATTTGGATGAAATTTCCATGATTCATGTAGATAATAATCAACATTCATTGGACAAATTAGATTTGATCAAAAATTTCCAGGGGCGTACCCATCGAGCAAGTCGGCTTTTTTTGCAGAAAAAAAATATTCTGTTGTTTTTTTTTCGGGTTCTTCTCAAATATTCAGATGAACCTACTAAAAAGAGAAAGTTTCTGTCTCCTGCTTTTTTATCGTATCTTGCTTCGTTTTCGAGATAAACGGACATACCATACCTCGGCATATCTCTGAACTTAATAGGGAGAATTGAAAATGCTTAGGTATATCCGGGAAAGAAGTAATTTATGGAAAGTGATATTTTATAACCTGTCAACAGAGATAAAATGTCAAACTTTTTTCCCGTCACATAGAAAAATAGATTTTTTGTATCCAAATTGTCAAGATAGGACTGACAGGAGAATGATAGTTTATTTTCGTAATCACATACTGTTATTTTGATTTATCGGTATTCAGATGACAATTGAAAAGGTTATGTCAACAGCCTCCGTCCGTTAAGATTGTTTAACGGCCGGCGGCCGTTAACTGTTCAATAACAACACGATGTTGGGATTTTTCTGTAGAATTACGGGGTACATTCTTTGTTCTTTCCTCGGAATCAAAATGTATAATCTTTCAGTGGGATTACGATGTCTTGAACGACACACGGCCTATACGCAAATAACGGATGCAGTTGTTTTAATCCTCGGATTACAATATTCGACCTCATCCGTTGTGACGTATATAACTATGATAGGAAAAATATCAATTATGTGCACTTTCATGCTGTTGATAACTCAACAACTCGTCTGTTTGGATTCCTACTCTGGCTATTGAGCTAAGGATTCCAGGAGACGGAGACAGCTATACTTGGCAACGTCGCGCTAAGCTGCTGAAAGGGCATTTCTTGTCTGTTCACCAATTCTGCATCCTGCATCATGCTGTCATAATAGGCGTTTTCGGAAACTTACTCGGGTTGTTCGGATCCCTAACCTGAACGTTCGGTTACCCAAACCGAGTTACCTACCTCTGTTCGGAGACTTGAATGATGCTGACTCGATCACTGACTCGGGTTGATTTTTCGTGACCCAACTCAAAAGCAGGGTCGCCAGAGTTGCGAAGGACACCGCATGCGCATTACGGAATTTGAGTCAATCAAAAAACGCGGGAGTCTACATTCGACGATAACAATAATAATAGAATAATTTGCATGTTGGGAAAAATCACGACCGGTGATATACATGTTCTTTTCAATCTTCACAATTTGATTAATGTAATTCATTGAGAAGAGAATTTGGGTAGGGGTGAAGTTTGTGGTTATGTGCAACAACACATATGAGACAAGTACACCAATCCACAGGTGAATATAAATATTTGTAATCAGATCAAATAATTACTTGAATATAATGTGACCATTTTCGTCTGTCAAATTCATAAAACCACAGGAAAAATATAATATTCAGTGTTCCTAACCTGACACGTTCGTAAACGTTGAACACGAGTATATGATCCGAGTTTTTTGTCACGTGACCTATCTGGATCGAGTTATCAACCCAGAGTAAGTTTCCGAAAACGCCTTATACTGAAGTACGAGTCCGCTTTTGGCGCATGCCCTTATACATGTCCTTTAAATTTTTGGGTTTCTCGCTTGGATTTTCAGTAAAGTATATTCTACGTGTTTCAAAATTGGTACCTTATTTAATTCTATTCTTTTTCTTCGCGCGCATGGCGCGCACGGAAGGGAGATGTCCCTATATTATGTTCGTAGAACATATTCTTAGATCCTGCGCTTGTCGTTTTGTAATGACAGGATGAGATGAAAGTGTCGTTTAATGTTTAATCGTACCTAAAATTCATCCATATTTCATCACATTTCAGAGAATATAATTATACAGGTCGGATAATTATTTTTATGCACGACCGGGCGTAAGTATAGCACTTTACCGCCCGGTTTTGCGGGCGTAAAGGGTCACTTTACCGCCCGCGGCTCGGCCCGCGGACTATTTTACCGGCCGCCGTATAGGTAACTCGTAACAAGCATTCCTGTATAATTCAGTACATTTATATTTTAGTTCCCAGCGAGTAAAAACATCCCTGGGAAGTTTTGAGAATGTTGGCATGAAGATGTTTTTTTTGGGACGTAATGAATGCACTTCCTGAATAGGTATTCGAAGGATATTGAAGTATTAATTGTTTTTGTTATTCTTCTGTGGCATTTTCTCTGTGTTCCTACTGACAGGTATCCCTGGGATGTTTTCTAGGATGTTTTAAAAATTTAGGCGTCAGGATGTTTTTTGAGACGTGATATGCATGCATTCCCAAAGAAGTATATAAAAGAAATTGGAAGTATTGGTTTTGTTCTTCTGTAGCATTTATATATTTGTTTGTCTACTGCATGCGAGGTAGTATCGCTGGGAAGTTTTGGTATTTTTCGAAAATATTGGCATGACAATAATGTTTTTTGGACATCGCAGTGGAGGTTCAAAATTGACTATGGCTGTTTATAGTCGTTTTTGAAAATTTTGGCCCCTTCAAAAAATAATAATAGTAAAAGTAGGTATACCTTTTATACCTATATATAGGTCTTGAGAATATGGATATTTCAGATGTCCGAATTTTCGAAGAGATAGAGAAAGAGAGAGAGAGTTGATTTAGGTACCTATATATATACAGTGTGCATGTGTCCCGTTTTTCATGAATACGACGCACCTTGAGTAACAATATTATATGGAAATTTTGTTTTGTGAAATTGGTCAACGGGTTTCAATAGGTTAATATTGGAAGGGTGTTACTAGTTGAAATCGCACACACTGCGTATCCGTTCTTATTACTTATAGGTTCAAAATAAATAGATATTAAACCGCATGCACGATATAATATTATGTACTATAGGTATTTCATATCTTTCTTCAAAGATCAACTAATAAGAATTTTGATTATGATTTTCTTATTATCATTATAATAAAGTAATAAAGCAATCCTAATATTATTTCATCTCCACATGGGATGGATTATGTTTATTTGAAAATATTTTCAATCCTTCTCACCATCATTATGATACGCTGATACGCCTATGAAATCATTGGACTGTAGGCACAGAACACACTAGCTTGGGTTTTCTGTGCTGTAGGTAAGGTGGCCCTTAACTGTAGGTGAGAAGAAATAAGAAGAAATGGAAAGGAAAAAACACCGTCTTGCGACTTTAACCTAAAAAATATAACTTGAAAAGTTCAAAAATAAAAATAAAATAATCAATTTTTGTCATCACGAAATGACTCTTTATCACTTCGGAAATTGTATTGCGTTAATTTATGTGCCCTATTATCTTGCATATAAAAATTCTGGATTGTAAATATTTCTATATCGGATAGCTGACCCATTAACATCCCTTTTGATTTCAGGCCAGAATATGGAGCTTTCTGGAAATGCATACAAGCTGGATTTTGTTATATGTTCACTCAACTGGCGAAAATGTTGATATTGGCAACGTTCTTCCCAGATAATGTGTCCGACCTCGGTAGTGATTTGATTGGGGTAGATATTTCAACTATTCAAACAGAACTGTTTTTTTTAGTCATAAGTACCTACTTAAATTTTCCAGGAATTTCTCAAGTCGACGGTAGATCTAGCAGATTTAGTAGGATTATACATAGTCTTAGCAAGTATCCCAGGAAAGGGTCACAGCAAAGTACTAACTGCAGGCATAGGATGGGCAACAGCAGAAGTAATCCTTTCCAGAGCACTTCTCCTATGGGTAGGGGCAAGAGGCGCCGAATTTGACTGGATATACATTCAGAAATGCCTAGAGTCAAATATCTTCCTTATCCAACATATTGTCACAGCTACTTTGATTTGGCTGTGGTCCAGGCATGATTTGAAAAGCAACATTCGCACTGCTGTTACTTTGTTGCTAGTACTCACCTCCTACAAGTCCTTGCTGCTGGATTTGCTGTTGACTGGCATGGGGGCCAGTGCCTGGTTTGGACTGTTCATCAAGGCCTTTGTTACAATGGTTTATGGGTTTTTCACCCTTATGATATATGCTGGGCTAGCTCAAGTTATAGGAATTTTCTAAATTATCAAGTTTCATTAGATTATTTTTGTGGATTATTTGAGTAGCAGCATTTATTTACAACATTCTCTTATTTAATCATTTAGTGAATTCAATTTTTCAGATGTCCAGACCAAAAAATAGAGTTCTAAATAGTTGTAATAGAAAAATATTAGCAATAATCAATATAAGTGAACCAACAACACCAGTTTTATTAGTGAAAATCACTTATGAAGTTGAAACTGATGAGATGAGAGTCAATGTTTTAACACTAGGCAACATTTTATCTGAATCAAAATTCAGTATATAGATTTCAGGGACTGAATTATGAGAAGATATTCAGAACAGCTTGGTATTTTGCTAGACTTTTTGCTAGATACGTTCAGGAAACATTAAAAGCATGTATTATAAATGAGTGATTCATACTGACAAGTAAAGCCATACTTATTTAATATGCCAAGCTGACAGACTTTGCTTCCCTATCCATGGTTACATCCAGAAATAAACTTCTGGTGTACTCACTCCTCATTTGTTTGGTCCTTGTTTGCTAAGACTGGTTCTTGATGATGACGTGGGTTTCATATATTGAATGTTAGATGGCGTGATTCCCATAATTTATTACCAACCTTGAAACATATGATCAACATTAGTTCTACCAACCTTGACGCCGCTAAATCGCAAAATGTATTCCCTTGTCACATTGATGCCTTTGATTTTGGTTAGGCACCAGACTAGACTTACTGAGTGGGTGACTGATCTCTGGTGCAGGTATCATTGAACTCTATAGTGGATTTTAACCGGCCACATGAACAAACAAAACGATTTGGTTTCGTTATTCGAAAAGGAAACAAAGGAACATTTTAAAAATTTAACGTCAGCATCCTGTACAATCCAAACTATTGAGTTCAGAGCGTTGAAAATTGGAACATTTCAGTAGCACCACGACTTCTACAATGTATCAAAAATTCGAGCAAATTCACCGAAAGCCAATTTCCCCCGTTGCGCTGCGGGGTCTTTTGAGCTGAATATCTCGAAAACAACAAAAAAAACTAGAGAAATAAGAAGAAAAATCTTGAAATTTTAACGCTCTGTGGATTGTTGACGAAGCCTTTGCGGACGGACACATGTTCATAGAAAAAAAGGCTTGATTTGATCTGAAAAATAAGCCCTCGAAATCTTGATACTTAATTTTGAAACACCCTGTATGTATTCATTTACTTCAAACAATTCTCATCACTTGAGCAGTTGTGGAAATAATAAACAACCGACTTTTTTCATTAAAAAAACACTATTCTATTAACTATAATAAATAGTTATGGTGAATGAAATAATCACAATTCATAATTTATACTAGTTTTTTTTCTTTTTGTAAACATTAACAATATATAATAAAATCGGAAAAGAAGACGCGTTTGCGCAATGGTTAGAATATTAATCTATGAAGATCTTCAGCAAGATACAGTAATTTGAACAAAAACCAGTACAAAATTCCTCCAAAATGTTTCATCTCTGAATGAAAATATCACAAACTTGTCACAAAACTGTCTCATCAGAGTCTCATTATGCAAGGGTAGAAGATGAAGGGATTTTGATTTTGAATGTGGTGTTTGGCTGTTCAAAAGAAAAAGGCTGTGAAACATTAATCAAATAACAAGGATTTGGCATATCTCAGATATTCATAACTCAGAAACTCAGAAAAAATGCAATTTTGCCTTCTGGAACCACAATTTGATGTCTAAGATGTGGCTAGTTCATTAGTTGGTTCAGAATTATTAGTTTTTTTTTTTTTTAATTTCGAAGTTCCTGGAATTGTAGCCAACAAAACTTGATTCCAGATAAAATTGAATCTCATTTCAATCCATTGGTCATCACTTTATAAAAAGTATTTTCAATAGAAAACAAGATTCTCGAACTTTACCTCTCAACTATGATGACAATTTGTATATGACAAAAAGAAACATTTATTTTCGCCTTTCCAGGTCGATTTGATCAATTCGAAATATCCAATTTAAAAAAAAGTATCTGTAGCCTCTTTCTTTAGGACGCTTTCCTCAAGCTCATCGATTCACTATCGCAAACTTTTATTTTATATACAAATCGCTCGGCCGGCACTAAGACGTCGAGCACCCTGTAGGTCCGTCGATATCGTTATCGTCAGAGTTGGACTGGCTGTCCGAGGGGCTGCTCATCGAACTGGTCGAACTGCCAGACATTGTGTTGATGTGGAACAAGATGTTGTCGTCATCAGCAGTAACATCTCGCTGAAACAGAGTTGAATTTGACACCAAAGAATTCACTTACAAAACAGCAAAGGAAAAAAAATACATTATGGAACAGAAAAGGGGTGAATCCTTGAAATTTTATGGTAAAAATTTTATAGTCCATGAAAACACTTCGCACACCCAGAACAATGTCTCTCAAAATTGACTTTTTTCTATCGATAAATATCCTACAGACAGTATTTATCAAAAATTCGATGCGTGAACCACAACAATGTCTCTCAAAATTGACTTTTTTCTATCGATAAATATCCTACAGACAGTATTTATCAAAAATTCGATGCGTGAACCACGAAGACAGGCTCATCTACAAAAATGTCCAACAGATGGCGCGTTAACTCTATTGTTGAAGACACGCTACCAGAGTCGTACCGCGAACACAAAACTATGTCTAGTTGCGACTTGTTCACTTTAGGGAACAAACGCAAAAACCTTCACGCAACAGTGCATTATTTTGTGATGAAGCTGTGTCGTTGAATGTAGTATGAAAATTACTTCTAGTTTAAATTCTGGCTCTCGTTGATTTTCTGGCAATGATTCCGCAGAGTTATCCCCACCATTCGCAATTTCATTCATTCATCCCTGTTTGTTGGCGTATTCTTTTTCAATGATTTATGAACGAATCGCGGTGTCTATTCTATTGTCATTCAATCTCAGCACTCACTTGCGTATGTACAAGTGTCCGTTATTATACCAACCATTCGCGATTTCATTCCTTTATCCGTGTTTGACGTTTAGGATTGTCAGCGTATACTTTTCAATAATTTATGGATGCTGCCCTGCCATTGCCCTGTTAGTTGACCTCATTATGCCTCCACAGCATCCACATCATACATAGCATCTGGCTCTCGTTGATTATCTGGCAATGATTCCACACAGTTATCCCCACCATGCGCGATATCATCCATTAATCCGTGTTTGGCGTCTAGGATTGGTGGCGTATACTTTTCAATGATATATTAATGAATCGCGGTGTCGATCTATTGTTATTCAGTCCGAGAACTCACCGGCAAATGAACAAGTGTCTTTTATTTTCCCCACCATTCACGATTTCATTCATTCATCCGTGTTTGGCATTTACAATTGTTGACGTATACTTTTCAATGATTTATAAATGTCTGAGGTCCTTACCCTTGCCCTGTTGGTCGAACTCATATGCCTCCACAGCATACACAGCATCGATATCATCCATACAATCTGACTCTGGTTGATTCTCTGGCAATAATTCGGCAGAATTATCCCCACCATTCGCGATTTCATTCACTCACGCGTGTTTGTCGTTTAGGATGGGAAGCGTATACTTTTCAATGATATATTAATGAATCGCGATGTCTATCTATTGTTATTCAGTCCGAGCACTCACCCGCAAATGTACAAGTGTCTTTTATTTTCCCCACCATTCACGATTTCATTCATTCATCCGTGTGTGGCGTCTAGGATTGGTGGCATATACTTTCAATGATGTATGTATGAATCGCGGTGTCTATTGTTATTCAGTCTGAGAACTCACCCGCTAATGTACAAGTGTCTGTTATTATCCCCACCATTCGCGATATCATTCCTTTATCCGTGTTTGAAGCGATTAGGATTGTCGGCGAATACTTTTCAATGATTTATGAATGTCTGAGGTCCTTACCCTTGCCCTGTTCGTCGACCTCATGTGCCTCCACAGCATCCACAGCATCTGGCTCTCGTTGATGTCAGCGGTGCCCATCAGGTTGGTCATGTCCTTGGCGTTGTTCCTGACGGTGTCGGAGAGCCCCAGCATCTCGGGCTCGCTCTCGCACGAAGGCACCCACACCTTCACGTCCCAGTCGAGGCCGCTCGTGCAGATGAACGGCAGCTGGGGGTGGGGCTCGAGGACGTTCACCTGTAGGGGCGAAACGGTTTGGGTTGGATGGGTTTTGAAAATATGATAAGGCTTGAAAATATTTGAAAAATGGCTCCACTCTAACCTTTCATCGATAAATACTAATGAAATGGAATATATGATTTTTCACCAAAAAAATAGACAAAAAATTTACCTCAACCTTAAAATAAAAAATTAACTTTTAAAACGAACTGACCAAATGAAATAGCTTGGTATATGGTTTGATGACAGGTTTAAGTGGGATAAACATATTGATGTTTTGACAAAGAAAATATCTCCAACTATTGGTGCATTGAGAAGATGTCCCAAACTTGATATTAAAATTGCAAACATGATTCCCTACTCTCATACACTGAGTCGTATCAACTATTTAATAAATGTTTGGGGATCTTGTTCAAGAAATAATTTCAATAAAATATCAACTTTATATAGTCGGACAAAAAAGATTCACTCATTCAGCCTTAACTGAATTCAAAAAACTACCTGGCAATATCAAAAATTGCAGAAATATACGTACATACAAAAAAGAAGTAACTATGTTTTTTCTACAAATAGTATTCTTTGTTTGCCAATTTATAGTTGTTGATATATCTTGAATGATGAAATGTTTACCTATAGGTATATATAATTATGTACTTCCTTATACCAGAGCCTATCCTGTCTGGAAGTTATTTGTTCAATAAATAAATAAAAATAAAATAGTCAAATATTATTTGGTAACTGAACATTATTCCCAGCATAAAATGCTGTCGGGAAAATGAGCCTATCCAGTCATTTTCAGAGAAAATATATCTCGAAATATTTGGCTCTGGAATACCTCAAAATATTTTTCGAGATTTTTTTCCATCAATTCGTCGTATAAAAAATTATTGAGAAAGTCAAAATGAACAAGCGAATTCAAATGCACAATGGACATGACAATGATGCCAATTTGGACCGAAAAATGTCGGCATTTCGGAATTTCTCAGGAAGAAATTGAAATTGTGGCATCAAAGGCGTCCCCAATTAGTTTCGAGGGACCAAAAACGGAAAAGCAGGAATTCCGCAATTTCTTCAATACCATCAGAAAAAAAAACAATTGTGATATCAGAGGCGTCTCCTTATCACTTTTCGAGGGGGTCACGAATGAAAACTGTTTGAAATTTCTTCAATATTAGCAGAAGTGAAATAAAATGTATTACTTTCAAGGGCGTACTCGTCTAGGAGGTCTAATAATCAGTCTATGCGTTGATCAAAATCGTTGAATCTCAGAACTTATTTCAAACGAACCGTAATGTTTATAGCAAAGATTGAAATAAAGATTGAATAATATATTGTCCATTCTTGACTTTTTCCAGCAACCAGCATGTCCAAATATTTCTTATTCTCGATACCAAGATATCATGTGAATGTTGGATACTTGGCAACATTATGCTGAATGCTGAGAACTGACAAGACCACGCCCACAAGTCGTACGCGGGGTTGTCACGTTCACCGATTCAAATGTGCTCTTGTGTGAATTAATATAATTATTATTTACCCAAATTTATTATAAGCAATAAGCCACAAATCATAAGGGAACATTTTGAGACAATTCAATTTGTATTGCTTATTAGGAATATTACTAATAATCAATTGAGAATTTATGAATTATTGTATAACTAATATTTCTGAAGTTCCCATTCATATTTCAAAACATGGCAACTGTTCTATGGGCTGCCCCTACTTGAGAAATCGTGTCGTCAGTTTTTATTGGCGGCAAAATTTCTAGCCGTTTGAAAATAACGATTATTGATGATTTAAGCACCTAAACATCGACCGAACAATTCTTCAAAAATATGAAATTGAAAGGTAGGTATTTGAGTGATGATTCTATTTACTCCTATGAATGAAGGAGGAAAAAAGGCAAAGTTAACGTTAATTACGCACTATTTTCATCTTCCGGTTGGAAGTAGCTTTTGGTACCTCATTAAACATGAAACAAAGTTTGACTGGAAAACGCGTGCGATGGCGGAGAAAATGGCCCCAAAAGACCAGGACAATAGGTTTTCAGCCAATATCTCCTAAAATATGGCAATTAGAGATTTTCGGTTCAGATAAAAATTGAAGTTCAGTTAATTTTCGACAAAAATGGTCCTTATCATTTTTCTCGAAAATGTTCCCGGTTTCGAGAAAAACGGCACGAAACGCACCTCGAATAATGAGCTTGTTTTGTATGCCGGAGAGCACAGTCCGTGTATTTACACATCGGCGGGGGGACAAATTATTCAATAACTTTGTTAAAAATGCATATTTTCTCATGATTCGAAGTTCATGTGAAAGAAGAATTCTGCTGCTATCATACCTGCGTGGCCGCATGGTTTGTAGCAGACAACCCGAGCGCCACGTAGAGCACACACGCGGCGAACGACGGAGGAACGAAAGTAATAAATTATAGCGTGTACTTTGGATATACTGGTTTTTTCCCGGGATATCAAATGTATGACTTATTTACATCGATGGAGAGGTGGGAATTCCCCCGTTACACTAGTTAAGGTGTTAAAATGTTAAAAATAAAGAGCACGGAGAAAAAAAACCACCGAAAAAAAATGCGTTTTTTCCTTGACCCCGCTTTTTCTAATTTTATTGAAAAATGGACGACTTCGTCTAAAAAAGTAATTGCACAATCGAAAAGTAGACCTTCTTAGCTTTCAAATGATGTATCATAAAAACCAATCGGATCATGTATAAATTTTTAATTGATGGTTGTTCACAAAATTTCCCCGCGCTCCAAAAACAGCAAAAAATTGGGATTCAATGAACAAAGATTGAATGAAAATTTAAAAAAATTAGGGTATACAAATTTCAGGGATGACAGAGGACCTTATGAGGACCCATAATCAAGAAAATTTTGAGTAAATTAGTGCAATACGAAAAAAATAGGAACCCATGTTCCGATATGGTCAAAAGAGTCAAGCGTGACTCAATTCACAGGGTATGATAGCAGCAGAATTCCTCTTCCACATGAACTTTGAATCATGAGAAAATATGCATTTTTAACAAAGTTATTGAATAATTTGTCCCCCCGCCGATGTGTAAATACACGGACTGTTCTCTCCGGCATACAACAGAAGCTCATTATTCGAGGTGCGCTTCGTGCCGTTTTTCTCGAAACCGGGCAAATTTTCGAGAAAAATGATAAGGACCATTTTTGTAGAAAATTAACTGAACTTCAATTTTTATCTGAACCGAAAATCTCTAACTGCCATATTTTAGGAGATATTGGCTGAAAACCTATTTTTCTGGTCTTTTGGGGCCATTTTCTCCGCCATCGCACGCGTTTTCCAGTCAAACTTTGTCTCATGTTCAATGAGGTACCAAAAGCTACTTCAAACCGGAAGATGAAAATAGTGCGTAATTAATGTTAACTTTTTCCCTTTATTTATTGGACTAATTTGAGAAATAAACTCGCCTATTGTGGGAAGCGTGTCCAAATTATTTCTTCAAGTGTTCAAGAATAAAAAATGACGGAATTTTCAATTTTCTTTGACAATATCAGGAAATTTCATTCCCAAATTATTATTTGAAGTTGCTAAAAATAAAAATACCGACAATTCGGAAAATTAACATTATTACTTTTCTAAGATTTTTCTCACCACCCCGTTATCGTCGGCCAGCATCCACTGCACGATTGCCTCGGTGTTCTTGTCCCAAAAGTACACGTTGCCACAATCCGAGCCGCTCACAATGTACTCCGACTTGGGCCCGAAGAAGTTGACGCCCTTGATGGTGGCGCTGTTGCGGTGGCCCTGGTACCGATTCAATACATTACAATAGATGATACTGAATGGATATTTTGTCACACTGGTTTTCATGAAGGTTTTTTTTTTGCGAAAACAGCTTGACGCCAATGTTCAAAAGAAGGTAACATGTCATTAGAAAGAAAAAAACATTCTTAGTAGTTTTAACGAAAATGTTATCTCAAACTTTTAGATACTTTTTGGTGGTTCGTTGAGTTTTCAGGGCGCTGTATAAAACACGAGATATTAAACATCAGAGTACAAATACCTGGTACCGGTGCTTGAACTCGCCCGGCCGCCCCGTCACGTCGAACAAATAGACGTCGGCATCGTTGTAGGAGGCGAGTATTTCCGTTCCGTCGTGATTATAGACGGCGCAGGTGATGTGGGGGCCGGAAAAACTGTTCTTCGGCTCCTGGAAAAAATTGAAAATTCATATTCATATTTTAAATAAAAAATATTGTCACGAATAGGGTTATTTTCCTTAATTTCATTCAAATTCATAGAAGGTTCGAAGTCATTGAACGGTCACGTCTTTGTTTATTAATTCCAAAATTTGAACGAACTTTTTTTCATAGTAGTTGAACATAAACACAGGCGTGACATTGACTTCAACGAACCTGGACTATCGACCTGATTTCCTTACTGTCACGTTTCCGAAAATATAGACGACTATTTAAAAGACGTAAGGAAGCGGGTTCGACAGTTGAACCATTAATATGTCCAAATTATAATATAGCTTCAAAGTATTGCAGAACACAAACAACTCATGGGGGTACAATGATATTAGTCAAGGAAAGCTTATGCAAAGAACTGACAATTAAAAATATTGACAAATTCCAATCACTCATAGTAGAAAGAGAATTTGAATTTTGTGTAATTCATGAAACCAAAAATAATATATATTTCATTTGCATCTATAGAGCCCCATCAAGTGACGTTACATCATTTTTAAATAGTTTGGAGACACTTTCGTCTAGAATTCCAGTCAACTCTCAAATCGTTTTAGCGGGTGACTTCAATATAAATTATATGGAAAAAACGACTTCTAAAAATGTTGGTAAATGGACCAACTCGTATTTCACAATTTAGTGCCTCTACTATTGACTACATTTGCACTGACCTGGATGAAGACAAGTTGGCTTGTGATATTATCCCAGCGGGTCTATCAGACCATGAGGCTATCATACTGAACTTTCCTTTGCATTTCAATATTTTCAATAAAAACTTCGAATTTGGCAGAATATATAGCAAAAAAAAATTTTCTGAATTCAAACGGAAGTGTGATGAAACTCCTTGGGATAATGCATTAAATCCTTCAGGTTGGGAAAGTAGGATATACATATAAAAGTTAAGCAAGCCAAGGTTAGTTTAGTTCATTGTACCGGTATATCACCCGACGAAGCTACAGTGTTAGCGAAACATTTTGTGTGTTTGAGAATTTTGTGGAAATCTTATCGTTTGTGAAGTTTTTACATATACTCATACTTGTAACATAACGCCTAAAAAAAATCCAATCGTTTGTCAGTGTTGTGTGTTTATTGTTATAAAAAAGGTATTGTTTGAGATTGACTTTGAATCTTCTTACATCATGTATATTTTTCAATGCATTCAGTATTGAATTCTATGAAACTATTCCATTGTGAGCATTAGGTATTTATTTACTGTGGATGAAGTAGAATAAATTCAAGATTTCTACTTACCCCATTTTCAAATGGATGATAGGTTGCTAGAGGTCGACCACTTTTTCTTTGGTCGTATACTCTTACTAAGCTATCTCTACCGCTAACGCAAAATTCCATCGTCTTCAATGGATTCGCATGTATACTATACAGGGCAATTTCTTGATCATTATCTAGAGTGACTATCCTGAAAATTTAAGATGTTTCCATTGAAATCAACCATTGATAGCATACAATTATAGAGGTTATAAACTGATTATTTTCCAGTTCTAAATTTCGCTCATGACATTGTTCCAAAACTTCATTGTCATACGGCGAAATCATTAGGCAACAAGTGAGGTACGTAGTTTTTGAAAGGTATCAGATTAGAATAGAGGTCAGATAATTTATACGACGCTATAAAAGCAGATGATATTAATTTTATCATTGCTCATGTAAGATGGAAGTAGAGGCCATGGCCCCATATCATGAGCATATTTTTATATTGAAACTATCATTGGGCACCAAAGATGTGTATACGACGCTATGAAAGTTCAGAGAACTGGAGATTTTTCCCACAAACTACGTACTTAGCCCACTCGACTGTCTTGGTTTTTCCACACAAACTACGTACCTAGCCCACTCGACTGCCAATAGGGACTGAAAAAACAAAAACAAAAGGAAGTTAAAACTTTGCCAACATACTTCTTCTTTGTGGGGAATAGTTTATGGGCAAAAAATTAAGACAGTCGAGTGAGCTAGGTACCTAGTTTATTGGCGAAAAATAAAGACAGGCGAGTGAGCTAGGTGAGTTGTTTATGGGAAAAAAATCAAGACAGTCGAGTGTGCTTTTTCTACTTTCTTTTTTTTTTTTTGTTTCGTTTACTATTGGCAAATGATTATCTAGGAACTTGCAGATTTTTTAGTTTTTTCATCGTATCTCCCGAACTATTGAATTCAGAGAAAAATGTTATAAGGATTTTTTGTATATTCTATCAAAAGGAATAATTTTGGTTCTATAACATTTTCAGATATTTTCAGTTGTTTTCGAGATATTTGGAATAATCTGAGAATAACATTTTCAACACTTTTGTTCCATCTTCCAATCAACAAAATGAAAAAATATTTCATGGTTCAGTGGAAGTGGATGATCTTCATCTATCGATAATCTTTTGTTTTTCAATATATCTTCATGGTACCCTATGGGTCGTTAAATTTTTTTTTTCATATTTTTCACTTTATTTCCTGTACTATTGGGTTTACAGAAAAAATTATGGAAAATAATTTGTAGGAAATGTTCCAGTGGATAACTTTGCACTTCTGATAATTTTCGATTTTTCCATTTGTTTTCGATATATATTGAATTGAAAGGATTTCAAATTTTGATGTTTGGTTTCCATTTGTTTTTCCATTTTCCGATGGATGCACGAAAAAATGGTTGAATAAAAATGTGTTGCGTCATCAAAGAGGCATACGGTGCATTTTTCAAATTTGGATTTAGTCTATTGGTTCAGGAGATATGTCGTTTTAAAGCGAACCGTGTTTTTCGGAAAATCTCCTTGAAAAACCCACTTGGAATTTCCCGACCCTGCTCAATTTCAATAGGCTTCGTCTCTTCCTGATAGAGTTATTTTTCACAAAAAATGAAATCGATCGGACCACTTTTGCGATTTGTAGAGTGGTCGCAAGTAACTTCCGGTGAAAAATCGAAAAAACCCGGAAAAACCACCTTAGAGTTTTCCGATTTCCTTCATATTTTAATGACATAATATTGTTTTGAGTACAATAAAATGGCAAAATTTCAAGTCGATATGTCAAAGGGTTCCGGAGACAGACAGACAGACAGACCACACACAAAAACCAAAGTTGCTCAAAATTCGATGGGGATCATTTTCTCCAAAGTAACTATACCTCTATCTCGCTTAGTTTCCGAGATAGCATTTTTGGCAAGGCCGTAGTATACTCCACTATGTATAGCGTCGTATAACAAGCTGTCGTAACAATCGCCGAATACTTCCGGCAAAATATTTAGTATCACTTGTGGTATTACTTATGATAAGAAACCTTGACGTTAGTGGAGTTTTCGATCGTCAACTGACCTTTCAGGTTTATTTTTTCGTACGTCGTGACTAAGGACTAGACCGTCTTCCCCTGCACTGAGGATGACGTGAGGTTGCTCGGCGAGCACGGCTAATTTGTGACAGGGGCCCTTATGAGATCCTAGTTTTCTATTGTCTCTCACCCCATCGTCGGGAGACACTTGGGCCACTCTTACCTAAAAGAGAAATAAAACGGATATCGTTCATAATAAAAAAAACTGGCAATAATCGTGGTCATTATTACGTCTCGTTCTAGTTCTCTGAGAAGAGTTATACTGATTTATTAAAATTGTGAAAAAGTTCAAGGTGGCGGAACCAATGGCGAACGAGTTTTGTAATTATAATCCGATTCAATACAAAATTGGGACCTAGGGGTTTTCATTATCGGGGATTATGATTCCTTCGTCAAAATTAGGAAATTCAAGATGGTGGATTCAATGTGGCGGACGAGGTTTGTAATTATAATTCCATTAAAAATTAGTGAGTTGAAGTTTTCAGGATCGGAAATTATGATTCCTTCATCAAAATTAGGAAATTCAATATGGCAGGTATCGAGTTTTGTAATTTTGATCCGATTCTATTAAAAATTTTCGTCTGGGGTTTCAGGAGTCGGAGGTTATGATTCTTTCGTCGGAATTGGGAAATTCAAGGGAACTAAAAAGGAGTATAAAATACATTGTTGTTCAAAAAACTAAATAAACATGGTTTTATAGATAGCCAAAATAAAAAGAAGTAGAAAATAAAATAACAATAGTAGAATATTAAACTGAAATAGTTATTTATTATACAAGAGAAAAGTAGTAGATTTTAGCTCCAGGTTGTGTTAGTAATTTATGAAAAGTGACATTTTATACCAGCGTAGCCTCGTGGTAGGAGTTTGAGTTTGCATTCACTTTTGATTGCCGGTAGTTGGGTTCGATTCCCCCTACGACCGCAGACATTTTTCTGATGGCCTAAGAAAGTGTTTGGGGATCACACGTTAAAAGGTAAGACCCCCGTCATTCCTTGCTCGCTCAAGTTTCTTGAAAACTTTTGACGGTAGCTCGTAAGGGGGCAACCGAATGATGAATAGGAACAATAAGAACAATGAGAACAACAGCAATACTTATATAGGGTGTTAACAAATAAGTGTCACAAAGGAAAACTGTAGATTCCTCATATTAAAGAAACATCTCTTTCCTCTTCAAAATTTTTCTCCGGGCTTCCGTTTTCAAGATACAGGGCGTCAAGGAATCAGAAATGTTCAGTTTAATTAAACACACTTTACAACACTTAAACTTAACAATTTGAAAACCAGCAACGAGACCAGCATACTCAAAAACCTGTCATTTGATTGAACAAATTATTCGACAGTTCTAAGGTGTTTATTTCCAGTGGATTTTTAGACGATTTTTGGAGATACCATCAGGATTGTGTTCAAGTTCAAAATTTTGTTTGAGAAGAAGCTCGGCAATGAAGTGCTATGATCTTATCTCACGAAAATTGGGGCGCTTACCGGTTTGCATACGCTTAGGTCACTCCCCAAGGGCGGCATACTAACTGGAAGTGGCAATTTTTCAGTGTTATAGTCGATGATCTAAGAATGTATGCCCTTTGGCGAAACAATGAATTCGGACCCATCAATCAGTTTCCCGACATTTGCATACGATTTCGGAGAGGGGAGCTCGACTTATTCGAATTATTCAATTGACTAGACATCTTTCAAATAATCGAGGATTTAAGTTCGTATGCACATTTCTGGACCGATAAACTAGGATACTCTGTATAACTGGATGCTATTTGCATACGAATTCAATGTGGACAGACGTTGTAATAATCTGCAGGCCAGAGGTGCACCGAAAGCAAACTAGATAAACTGGAAGTCTCATAATCTCACTTCACATGAAATCGAATTGAGATTCTTTCCTGGGGCTTATGGGACTACTTATCATAATACTGGCGTCTAAAAAATATATAAAGAATGTACATTCAATTTGTTGAATGTTTTGGGTATAGTGTAGGGTCTGTCTCCTGAACTTTAATCTACATTTTTGTTTTTAACATTTGCTCTATCATTATCTTCAGAGTCATCTTTGCTCTCGCTGTCTGAAGATTGTTCAGATATGAAAATTGTTTCAGTAAAAAAAAAGAAAATACTTCAAATCCGGGATTCATATTTCTGGCAAAATATGACAATTTGGCGCATGATCGCTATAAGAGTGCTGCGTGTAAATGATATCGCTAGATGCTGTAGAGCTGTATTTGTCATGATTATCTCAACTTGATAGTGAAATAAAATATAGTGTTCCAGTAAAAAAAATCGACAACTACTCCATAGTTCATTTGTTATGAACAGCCTGTGAATTTTTTAATAACAATGAAAAATCTTTTAGGAAAATCATTTTAATTGGTTTTTGAAATTTCAAAATCGTTTCAGAAACGACTAAGTTACAATGGGAGATATTTATGGTGAACCACCCTGTACGGAATGTGCAAATTGTATGCAAACCATCATCTCATATATACTGTGTGGTCCACTAACCGTGGTCAAAATTTGAACATTTCTTCGATTATCGATTATCTGAAGGATATCCAGTCATATGATGTTCAAATAAGTCGAGCTCCTCTCTCCGGGATCGTCTGCAAATGTCGGGAAATTGATTAATGGGTCCCAATTCATTGTTTCGCCAAAGGGCATACATTTTTAGATCATCGACTATAACACTGAAAAATTGCTACTTCCGGTTCGTATGCCGCCCTTGGGGAGTGACCTAAGCGTATGCAAACCGGCAAGAGCCCCAATTTTCGTGAGATAAGATCATAGCACTTCATTGCCGAGCTTCTTCTTTAACAAAATTTTGAACTTTTTTCCATCCGAAAGGTGAGGTCAGGGCCGGGGCAAGGACTGGGTTGCTGCTCTCCGAGGCACTCCTTCCTGTTAACTTGGACTAAGTGAGTGGGTTCCTTAAATGGCATAACGACTTAGAACATCGACAAACCCTGTGCCGCGGGCCAACAGTCTATTACTTACATGACCGTCTTTGGCACAAGTCGCTATATGCAGATCCCCGCTCAGATTGAGGAACTTGCTCTGGAAGACGTTCACCCTGTGCTTGGAGTCGTACTTGAGCAGGCACTTGCCTATCTTCCAGTCCCACACGACCACTTTGCAATCGTCCGAGCCGCTCGCCAACAGATCGCCGTTCGGATGGAAATCCAAACTGTTCACGCAGCCCTCGTGCTCCTCCAACTTGTACATCAGCTCTAATCTTTGCACGCAGTGCAGGGAGCCGTAGCAACGTCTTTGGAATAGGTCGTTGCTCTTCAATTTCGAGCTGAAACCTATGAAAAAACTCATCCTGTACAGGGTGTATCTAATTTTTTTTATGTTCTGGTTCTCACGAAAAGGGATATTCTGTAATGTTCAGAGAACATCGTGAGAACCAAGGGAAATAATGTAAAAACTTCACAAACGATAAGATTTCCACAAAATTCTCAAACACACGACATGTTTCGCTAACACAGTAGCTTCGTCAGGTGATATTTATTTATTTATTTATTTATTTATTTATTTATTTATCAGAAACATACAGGTTACCCTAATTACATGTTTCTGCTTCTTACATATTTGAATCAGAATACAACATAACACTATTAGGTACTAATGGATTGAGAGGGGTTTGGTACAAAGACAATATTATTGTTCGGTTTTAATTTCAATAACGGCTCTTCTGAATGATCGAAAACTTGACATGAATAGATCCAGATCATATTCGAGAATGTATTGATTGTATAATCGGCAAATGGAATCTTGAGCATTTGTGGTGTTGATCAGAAATGTAAGGAGTCTGGGACTCGTCCGATAATTGGGTACATATAAATTTATCTGATGTAGGAGTTCAGGTGAGTCTACAAGATTATTCATCAATTTATAGAGAAAAAGAAGACCGCGGTGGATTCTCCTGTACTCTAATTTTGTGATTTTCAGTTCAAGCCTTAACGGATGATATGAAATAAATCCAGGGCTGGCCTTGTATTTTTTGTAATATATATACTTGAGAAATTTATTTTGAAGTGTCTATTTGTTTGACATTTCCTTTGTTGAGATAGTTATTCCAAATCAAACATCCGAATTCGAGTTTGCTTCTAACCAGAGCATTATAGAGATATATAATAGATTCAACAGAGCTGAAGTTAAGAGTTGAGCGTTTTATAAAACCTGGTACAATGAACTAAACTAACGTTGGCTTGCTTGACTTTTATATATCCTACTTTCCCAACCTGAAGGATTAGTTACCTGTGGACAGGTACGATAGACCTCCATTTTCGGAAATTAGGCACAATATCTATATTAAAATACGGTATGCCGGATTAACTTGAAAGAGTTGATAGCAAATACATATTATTACTTACTAAGAAAACAAATTCAACAGTGGTGAACTATTGAGGTCTAATTGATCGTTAAGTAAAATGTCAAAATTTTCGAGTTTGTTGATTTCTAATGATTCAAAATGATTGAGTTTCAGTCCATTATTTTCTACGTGTAGAAATTCGAAATTATCATCAAAACACATCAAACCGGCAGTGACAGAAAACAATTGAATATGTCAAATAATGCATATTTATGTATTACACTTACACCCCGAATTTCATTTGTTTATCTGTTGTAACAAAAAAGTTATAAGGGTTAGCCACTTTTGAGAAACACCCAATATAATAAGAGGAATCGGTATGGAATGTGAATTCTCTTGATTCAATAAAAAGTACCTACTTTTCTCTGTATCTTACGTATTCGTTGGGTAAGAGTCCTGAAATTAGCTGGAGCGAGAGATATACCAAAAATGTACTTTATGACCAAGTGGGGCCATCTTGAGTGATATAAACTGCTCGCCAACAGCCATGGAACCACCCCAATTTCCGGAAAATGATATTAGGAGTGATGAATAGAATTTCAGACTCCTACATCAATAATTACATAAGATACTGGGGTGCTTCCATGAAAAGTGAGACAGTTTATTATTTCAGAACTGAAAATTTTCCAGAAGGAATATGAGTAGTTAGTGAATTAAACGTTCCGTTTTCTGTTCTCGAATCCGGAGTGCATCTCAACCTATCTCTTCTGCTCATATGATTTTCCGAACATGTAGGTGGTTCCATGGCTGCTAGCGAGCAGTGTATATCACTGATGGTAATTTCAATTGGTCATTGACTGTTTCTTTGAAATATATCTTGCTCCTGGAAATTTATTGATCCTTACTGGATAATTACGTAAGATACGGGGGTGTCCGTGAAAAGTGAGAACTGAAATTATTTTCAAGAACAATATCTAATTGGGAGTCCTGATTCCGAATCCGAATCCCACAAAGGTGGGAAATAATTTCTAATTTTTGACTTTTCAGTCAATCTTTCATGTAAACATTAGACAAATTATAATATGACCTTTCACTTTTTTATAGATACTTCCAAGGGAAATGTTGCTCTAAAATTTCTACTATAATTTCTCATATAATTCCATCACTAGCAATACCAGTTAGACGAACTTGACAGGCTCAGTCAGCACATTCCTGCGTCGTTAACCTTGAAAAATGTCGAACAACACTCTACCAAAACTCGTAAGTCTATAGAATGGCGAAGCTTTGGAATTCTTTGCCAATAAAAGTTATTTATGTATTAAGGGAATTATGAGGGCCTTAATTACCGATGGCAAAGTTTGCGTCCCGAGGGCCTCTGGCCCGAGGGACAGCAATTGCCAGAGGTTATTAAGGCTCTATAATTCCCGTGATACATAGATAATTTTATTTCTGACTGATTTCATTCATTAGATACCTTCCCGATTGGAAGTTAGACATGTTTTTCCGTATAGTTTCAATGTCATCAGAACGTCAGATGATGATCTTGACTACCGCGAATAGGAGATTCCTTATTGCTACGTTATTGCGTGGTTGTTGCTATGCATTTCTTATTTAATTTTAGCTAGAGGGAATTATAGCATCTATAACATCCCAAGGGAGTTATGACCCTCATTATAGATATCATAACTATGACGATATAAGCTTATAATGTCACTGTCAGAAATAAAAGTATTAATCATTGAAGAATTACGTCATATGAAACCAGAATTAGTGGGATCGTTTTCCTTAGAATTAGAGTTGGAACCCAAATGAATTCCATGATTTTGTTTGGTGAATTTGTTATTGTATATTGTATTGTGTTCTAGAATGGTCAATTCCCAAGAACTCATAACCTCAAAAAGATCAAAAAAATTCCAATACCTACATCCTCTCCCTGTACTCCCTAGGAATTTCCTTTTGTGTGCTCCAAGAGATAAAAAATAAAAAATATAACTTGTTCCACATTGACACTGCTAGCTCCATATTGGGACTAACAAGATTCACTCATGCAGCCTTAGTTGAATTCAATATTGTACCTGACCATATCAAAAACTGCAGAAATATAGGTGAATTCAAAAATGAAGTGAACAAACTAATTGTTTCTGAATGAATTGGATACAATTTTTAGTGAGGTTTTTATAATATGCTTTCTCTACAAATATTGTTCCTACTTTTGCCAATTTATTGTTGTTGATGTATTTGGAATTATGAAATGTTTACCTACAGATATTCAGATATATAATTATTATGTTCTTCCTCATACCTGATCCTATTCTGTCTGGAAGTTATATGTTTGATGAATAAATTAATAAATAAATAAATGTTCACATACCATTTCACTATATCACCTAAAATGAAAATTATCTCTCATTCATACAATTTTATCATGAAATCAATTTCTTTGGTCATGAAAGAATCAAATGTAATATTCATTGGGAAGCTACAAGTACCATTTATATCAATCCTATTGTTGTTGAACAAATCACTATTTGTTTTTCCTGGATGGATGCCCATTGAGAATAATTTATTTTATACAGTGTCAAATGATGATTTGCAGAGATTCTATGATGAAAGGGAACATTGATAATTCTCATCATTGCTTATGTTACCAAAGAAAAATTTGACTGAAAATAGCTAGGAACTGCTAATAAATAAGTGGTATCATCAGGATATTTTGGAATTAGTGTAAGTGCATTATTAGTTCTGGCAATAACCTCCAGAAGATGTGTTTCTGAAATCAGGAAAATACAGGAAGGAGGTATAGATCAATTCAAGCACATACTTGCCAAGATCATCTCTTGCAAAGATATTGATTCAGGTAGAGATAATAATATTAAGTTTGATTTAGCAACTTTGAGAAAACTAACTTATTGTCAAGACATTCCTCTCTTTCTCTCATTGAGACAATGTTAACAATGTAGGAGTTGTATGCTTTCAAAATTACAAAATGGTATTGGAAAAACCATCCATCAAAGGTGTGAGTTTTTGTACTAATGGAGTTTCCCATGAAACAGTTGGCAGAACCCCAGATCACTAATTACCAGTGAATAAGTAACTTTTTTTCCCTTCAAAACATTACATACACTTTTTTTCTAGTACTAGGTACAGTACCTATTTGCCTGTTTACTATTTCTGGTACAACAAACCAGTTGTGTTTGGGTTTTTCTTTTTTCATTACTGGGTGATCTTCTTCATCTGATTCTGTGTCTGTATCATGTATAACTGTGGAATCTGAACTACCAGGGCTAGAGTAATTGAAAAAATTTGCTAGTCTTTCATCCTCATCTTCTGTTTCTTCCACAGGGTTTTCTGCTGCTACTACTTCACTACTGCTGGAAAATGAAATAAGAGGATATTTACCTATGAAACTGAAAAAATCAAGATAACTGGGAACAATATCATCATAAAGAAACTATTCCTTGTTTCAACATTTTCCATTGCATTTTCATCAAATCCCACAAAATAAATAAATACCTTGCATTATCCAGTACTGGGTCTGAGCTAGATCTGTGCCTGTAATTTCGATTGGCAGACATTCTTGTCCTAGGAAACCCACTATCAGTACCACTAGTACCATTGCTTGCTGAACTAGTGCTATTCACATTCAATATGTTATCAAGTACTCTGCTGCTTTCTTGCTCTGTACTATTCGAAGAACTTGATGATTCTTCTAGAGATCCACCTTCGGTTTTCATTCTTTTGGGATTTTCACGACCATCTGAAGGATCTTCTCTATTATCATCATCAGACATATTTTCATCCATGGTGAAATGGAGCTAAAAATATAATATACAAAGACGCAGTTGATAAGGAAGGAAGTATGCTGCTGCTTTATGAATTCAAATATTCTATTTCAATGATATATTAATTGAACTAATACCGGACTACGTTTTCTTGGAGAAAATGTTACCTATTATATTTTTATTTAACTACCACTACTACCAGAACAATCCACAACACTTCACAACATCACAGTCTGACAGAATAAAAATAAAAGCAAGACATGACAGTTCAGTGGACATGACAAGTTAACACGACATTGACAGTGGCAATAATGACATTACGCCTGCCATGATATGTCAGAGATAGAGATGGGTATCGCACTTCGTCGCACTACCACATTCTGTGGCACTACGCGCAGACCTTAGATCATCAAAGTTGGTAGAGCTCATGACAATTTGTATAGTACAAAATAATCGTCAGCTCGGTACCTTGCTATAACTCGTCATCAGTGAATCGCTGGTGGAACCTGGTGAAAAATGGGTGAAGCACCCGTGGCCTTTAGGTAGCCAGCCGCAAGATTAGTAGATCTCATCTATACTCGGTATATCTGCGACATTAAAGTATAAAGTTCCAACATAATTCCAGAGATGGCGATAGGATCACTTATTCCCAAGGTTGGTAGCTGATGATAATTGTGATCAGTTCTACCAACCTTGCTTATTCCAGACATTTCCAGACATTCCAGACGTTCGACGTACGACGCGTCTGAACTGCCAACAGTGCCATCCTAAAAAAAACTTTTTTTTTTCACGAATATTTGCCTAATTTACAGTTGCAACTGTACGAATGTGCTGAAGGGCCACCTATACTTCTTTTCTCGAATCCCGACTTTATTCTCGGGATCCCGACTTTAAAGCAGAGGCGGACTGGGGGGCCGGGCGGTCGGGCGATCGCCCGATGGGCTGGGGCCCTTTGGGGCCGAGAGAAATAGTGAATGAATGAAGAAATATATGTCTTCTCGACAGCTTTCTGAAGTATGAGACCATTATAACTGCAATTTTGTTTAGGAAAATTTTCAATTTCACCACTACTCTTTCGATCTAACTACAAATATCAGGTACCAATGGATATTTTAGATGCATACCAAATGGTCGGAAAAACCATGAAATCCTTGAAAAAATATCGCGAAAATATGATGTAATTTTAAATGATACACATAAATTCATTGATAAAGCAGATGAACTATTTATTTTCAAAGAACACGAAATAAAGAAAGCTTCTTTGATGAGAAAGGTGATCATGAAGCACCTTGAACTCCCATCAAGAAGTTCAAAATTGAGACTTTTGATGTGACCATTGATAATATTATCACCGCACTCGAATCCAGATTCAAGAAACCTAAAGAATTGTTTCACGATTTTGAACTATTTGATCCGTCAAGATTCACTGATGATCAAATAATATCAACTGAAAACTCAATAAGAATGATTTATGAAAATATCAGAAATTATCATCCTGCTAATGAAATAGGTCTTGATAGATTTTACCCCGCAGTGAGAAAGACTGTTGAGTACTTTATCAGAAGATATGATTGATGGTGGAACTTATGTCTTCGATGTAGAAGAGGAATTGATTTCATCAAAACACTTTCACTTTGTTGCTACCATGTTTTGAACAAATACAATTTATGTGTCGAGGATTCTCACCCTTTCAGTATCGCAGGTTTCAAGTGAAAGATCTTTCTCAAAATAAAAATTTATCTTGATTAGGCCAAGAAATTATCTGAGCCAAGAACATTTGGGGGCTTTCATGATGATGAGCTGCGAAAAAACGATATTAGGAAACGACGATATCATTTTCGATTTTGTTGAAAAATGTGGATCCATGGATCACTCGTTTTTCAATTTCAATTCTTAATGCGGCTTATGTTTTATTTTGGATAAATACTCTTCCTGGTATTTTTGTAGCTTTAATATTATTTACAAAATGCCTTGTGTTCCTCTATACAATAGAAATATCCTTTATTCAATTTATTTTAATTTTTCATTTATAGAATGTTATTTATGTTACTCATTTCATTTTTCTTCAGCATATTTAAAAAATGTTCGCTTAATTTTGATAGAATCAAAATTATTTGTAATATTTTTTTTTGCGTTTTCGTCTATGTCACTCAAATATGTAATGAAATTATTTGAATAGCTATATTGGCTTTGAAATTTTCTCCGGAGATGGGCCGGTAGGATTCAATTCGCCCGGGCCGATTCAAAGGTCTAGTCCGCCTCTGCTTTAAAGTCGGACCCCCGACTTCAATCTCGGAATCCCGACTTTAACGACGGACCCCTGACTTTAATCTCGGGATCCCGACTTTAATCTCGGGATCCCAACTTTAATCTCGGGATACCGAATTTAAAGTCGGACCCCCTACTTTATTCTCGGGATACCGACTTTAAAGTCGGGGGTCTCACCTGTACAGGATGTCGGCGATGTCGCTCTTTATATTTCGATCCCTACCTATACATCTTCAACTATACGAAGTGTAGAAAACTTCAAATAATAAAGTTGTAGGGTTTCATCTGTACAATCTTTTTGCACCCATTGAACAAACAAATGCGAATCGCGAAATGAAAAAAGAGAGTATGATGGCGAGCTAGTCGCTAGCCGATGATGTGTATACGTCATTAAGTCGATTCTGAAGGGCGTTATAAAAAACGGATTTATACAGGGTGTTCCGAAACTATTGTGCCAAAATTCAAGGGTTGGTAGATCTCGCCAAAACAAACGTTTTTCACTTATTAACCCATAGGCGCATGCGCATGCGTTCAGTGATAATAGCGCATTAAGGTCCGCGCAGTGGTATCCCCTCGGACACGGGGAAACGTGTTTGTACCGGAAACCGTGTTAGTAAATAACATTGAATCACAAGCAATATTTGGGAGAGTTTATTAAAAAAAACACCACAATTTAGATTGAGTTAGGTTTTACACATTGCCACGACGCAATAATTAATGAGAAGCCTACGCAATACGAGTGTCCGGAGCGCAGCGATTGGTCTCGATTCTCAAAATCGGTAGAGCTGAGCACTCAATATCGATATTATTTATTTATGTATGTACATACGTCAAAATCGGTAGAGCTGGGCACTCAATATCGATATTATTTGAGTATGCACATATGTTAAACTTTTTTCTTGTGATACGCCTATTGGGATTTTAACCTTCATCATTCCGCGCTGTCATTCTGTCAAAAATGATATGTTTTTGACGCCAAGTGTGATGTGTCAAAATATTAATTTTGCCAGAACGACTCGGAAGATATGTTTCTACCACATTCGGTTGTAAAACGAATAATCATATGATAATCAGTCACAAAATTGAATGAAGAATTGTTATAACCTTCGATTCTACTACCAAATAATCACACTTGATGATCACGTGATATATGCCGTCAGATGGCATATTGCTTAGCATTAAAACACAATTGGTACCGAAATAAGGTGCATGCGCCTATGGGTTGATAAGTAAAAAACGTTTGTTTTGGCGAGATCTACCCACCCTTACATTTTGGCACAATAGTTTCGGAACACCCTGTATATTTATATTTCCATTTTTGTAAATTTTTTCTTCAATCCCACATTATTTATTAGGTGGGAAAAACGCACCCTGAAGGAAATATCAGCATCAACATAAACAACGATTCGAAATAAAAATAACTAGTTAATTGATGGGAATTATTAATTAATTACACACACTGTATACGAATCAACTTCTTTAATGAAAATAATATACATGTTATTGCCTAGACCACAAGTTTATTGATATATTACACATCTGAATAGGGTCTTTCACATTTCCAAATAATTTTTCACTGGTACTTACAATGATTATGAGAATCTAAAAATTAATTTTTCACCAATCACTTGTACAAAAATTTCAATTTGTTGCCGAATACAGCCGGTCTATCTGCTGTGCCATATCCTTTTTCTAACACTTAGACTACACACATATACCTACGAGACTAAAATTCTATGAAATTTTCGAAAGTTTTAAAATGCCGTATTACTCCTCTTCCTAAAAATCATGATCTGCTCGTATTAAAGTAACACTAATTCACATTGATATGATGGGATTTTGGGAAATGTCCATAGGTAAATATAGAAGTTGAAATTCTGTACACCTATATTTATATTGATACGATATGTGAATTCTCTAAAAGAATAAAAAATCTACCTTAGAACATTTCTTCAAACATTTATATTCACAATTATAGATAAGTATAGGTAGGTACTTTTATGTACATGTCATTTAGATACACTCATTTTTTTGTGGAATGAATGTATTTAAAGGAATTTAAGTATTCAAACCGCACCATTTAGATGAAAATATCCACCTGAGTTATGCTAAATGATGAAGCTCAAGTACATAATGGTTCTGAATTTCACATTGAGGTATACTCTAAAAGTAGGTAGGTAAATATGTGTGTAAAACTAAAAAAAATACAGACCCTATTCTTCTCAACATTTGTAGGTCTCAGAACCGAAAAAATGCGGTCAGTCTATTGCAATGAAAACTGTCATTTTCAAGTTTCAACGAATAATGAGTCGAATTTGTGTCGAACTACAAACAGTTTTTCAATAATAATATCAACAATATAAGTATTATTTTCAAGTAGGAACTTTAACATCTCTAAATTGGTCCTCTCAAAAAAGAACCACTAAATTCGATATATACACTGACATGGAGGTTTGATAATATAATATACACTATGTAGGTATAGGTACTAAAAGGTACTAAAGTATGTGCAATTCTACAAGTGACATACTATTTACCAATATTATTTTCTATATCTGGTTCGAAAATTAATTGATGCATACTGTATATATTCACGTATCACATATCTATCTACAGATTTTACACTACTAGCAAGTGACAGTCATTCAAATAGATAATAATATGACCCTGCTTGACGAGTGAGTGTCATCTGCTAATATATTCCAATTTGAATTTTCCTTCTCACAAGCGAAAATATAAGAATTGTGAGAAGAAAAATATCATATTCCATATTTACACTGAACAATGGTATTTATAAATATATTTATCAATTGAAATAAAAGTACTATGTAACAAAATAATTATAACTACTTCTAAATTTACTCGCCGGCAATCTGAATAAATCTCGGAAACCAAAAGGTAGATACTTATTTCGGATTGTATACAAGGTTTCCAAACTTAAGTCGGCACTATTGCTATTTTGGTTGTTATTGGAGCTACAATGTCAGTTAAGAGGACGTGAAAAAGTTCAATTTTTTTGAAATAGGACACCCAGTATACAATATTCATAATCCATAGGAAATACGAACAGAAACTGTCCCATAATCTTTCAGACTAAATTCAAAATCGACTGAGGTATCAATGATTTTTCAAAGCGATCTTTTTTGTCTTACTAATATAAAAAGAAATCTTCGATAGCTTCGTCATTTTTGAATTCAGGATACACGTTCATAGGTCAATTCTTGTTCAGAATCGAATTTCCTATCGATTGAGAATATTGTATACTGGGTGTCCCTTTTAAAGAAATTGTTCTTTTTGATGTTAACGCGATGTTAGATTTTCGTTCGTCATCGTAATCAGCAAAAAAATACTACTAGTTTGTCCATTTAACAGATTTTAAAGCTCCAATCATAACCAAGTTAGCAATAGTGCTGACTCAAGTATCAGAACCCTGTATATAAATAATTTTCAGCTTTCCGATTTCCCGAGATCTTTCGAAATTGGTTGACCCTCATATCAAGACAATAAGTATATTTGGCATAAATAATAACAGTCAATAATCATTGAATAATTTTCATATTTTACATTACTGGAATATTGATGACATTCAAAAAAGAGACATCGCAGCGAATTAGATAAAACAAATATGAATTTCCATGAAAACCGAGATGAAAACATTAAACATGCCGAATCATGAAGAAGTAGGTGAGTATAGGTATAGGTACATAAGTTGCTTGAAACATAATCAACCAAGTCATCAAGATAGTGCAGGTAGTTATGAAATTGCCAATTATTGGACGTAGGTAATTCTGACTTCAAAGCAAACTCATAAATATCATCATACACCCTGTTTAGACTCGAATATAATTCGACTTTATTTCGGGAATATCCGAATGGATACTATTTATTCCTTAACAAATGCATCATTTCAAAAATTTCGACCACTGTTTGATCCAAAATCCAGAATGACAAGAATACACAGTCAAGTCAATACAAAGTAGAGCATCAATCTTTTATAAAAAATATTCATATTTCAGAGCAATGAATGTGACAATTTTTGAAAATTCCAAGATTGTTTCAAGAAAACAGGTGGTGCGGTATGTTTTCAACCTCATAAAAAAATTGAAAAACATTTCTTCCAAACAGGAGGCCTTTGAAATTTTTGAAAAATTGCACAACTTTGATTACCTTCGTTTGAATCAGGTGGAATCTCATTCTGAAGAGATGCAATAATCATTTCCATAGGCCGATAGTCAATGAAACGTACATTCAGAAACTGAAAAGCAATTGAAAATCGCTTGAGTAAGTCGAAAATTATGATGAATCAATATTGATCAAAAATTTTCGATTTTTACTTTTTGAGTGCTGAGCAGTTTACTTATTCACCTTTGCACTTTGGACTTTTGCCACTAGATGGCTCCGAATGCTGGATTGTCCGTCTCCCTATTTGTGCTTTGCTTTGTACCATATTGTCAGATGGCCTAGTGCAACTGATGATGCTTTGTAAGCCGAAACGGTATGCCTTGCATTAGCTGACGATCGATTCACGAAATCTCTCGGACATACAAGGTGTCTCAAGAATTACTCTCATTATTACTATAAAAATTTTTGACACCTAAAAAATTTTTGTTGAATAACAATCAAAATAATGAAGTGTTGTATAAGTTATATTTTGAGTTCTTCACAATAATCTTACAAGAATCATTTGGAATAGGTGCCTTTTTATAATATCATACTGACCTATGATAAAAATACTATTTCTTCACTTTATTTAATATAATTTATTGTAATAAATAATACTACAGGTTTTCAACATTATGACATACTTTTTTATTATTCTCTTCATTACTTTGTCATATTAACTTATTCATTCTCCATATTATTTTGATAAATTACTACGTCTCATTTTAGCTACACATGTTTTACCCCAAACTGTCTAAATGACTCAGCTGATAGTTTCAAATAATATTTCTGAGATCCAACCATTATGAAAAAATGATGAATACAACCGAAACAAAAGTATAGGTACTCGCTGAAGAGAAAAGTGTTCCATAAAAATTTTTTTTGGCGCTTTGACTCTTCCTCTACTTTATACAAACGTCCATATTATACCTCTAATACAGTCATCGATTAAAATAGTTTAGTACACCGGGTCAGGGGTTCGAAATTATTCAATATCATTGCACAGGTACGACCAGCTATTCCAGATAGTGGTCCGCGAAAAAATTGACGTGGGGTCATTCTTGCTTGACCATCACATTGGGATTGTAACTATTATGGCCGCTGGAAGTAACCAGCGATAACGGACTAGTAGCCAGACTGTTGGCCATGTGGTACATAGCTCCATTGTTGTTGCCCACAGAGCAGGGTGACCCCATAGCAGCGGCCGGCGGATTAATCCTCTTCTCTTTCTGCCGCCTGTTGCAGAACCAAACCCGCACTACTTCTTTTTCCATGCAGAGACCGTCGGCCAGCATCGTAATCTCCTCCGAAGTGGGTTTCGGGTTCTGCAGGAAAGCTTTTTCCAGAGCTATCCTGACGCTGGTTTCTATCGAGGTGCGCTTCTTTCTCCGCCTGCCAATTGTTTCGGGGGTTGTCAGGGGGTTGCTGAGCGCTCCGGGGTTGCTTAAGGTGCTATCGGCGTCTTCCAGCCACTTTTGGAGGAGGGGTTTCAGCTTGCACATGTTCTTGAAGCTAAGGTTCAAGGCTTCGAATCGCGATATGGTGGTTTGGGAGAAATCGTTGCCGTACAGCTTGCCCATCGCTAGGCCAACATCGCCTTGGGTGAAACCTGGAACAAAACAAAATATTGGTCAGGGTGACAGACATTGTGGAGATTTGGAATATTTTCAAAGAGATGCATGACAATTCGGTCATTAATAAAACGACAATGGTAGATAACCAAATCTATTCTGCCATCTCCATCTGAGGAAAGCTTCCATGGTTTCCCATGTGAAATGACCAAGGAATCCCAGAACGAGGAAGCTAGTCTTCAACAAGAATAAGTGTGAGGTCTCACCTAGAGTAGATTAAATATTGAATAACTAAAAATTTTAATGGAAGGTATCTGCCATGCAGTAATGAATTTGCGCCTTCGAAGTAGCCACCTGATGTTAGGTTTAGATATTTGATATTTTCATTTCATCATCTAAATAATCTGAGACTTACGAGTCCGAAAATACGGATTCTAACCATTAATATGCAAGGTATCGACGTTTCATGTCTGATTGTTGGATGTTTTGTATCCAAAGAGCAAAAAACAGAGACAAAAGTTGCGTTTTTTTTATCCGTTTCCGCCACTGGATGGTATTGGTTTGATAAGAGTTCGGTCCATATACGTATTAATAATCAATACGGATAATCTCTATCTGTTTCCATAGCGAAACATGAAGCCGATTTTTGAAGACAAATGACTATCCATAAGGAAAAGTTTTGAAACGATCAGACACATACTGCTTTGATTGAAAGGCTAGTAAACGTCATTGTCCACCGAAACGCATGTCTTTGATGACTACTATAATAGCGCATGGCGCATGCGTATCATGCCACCAAATCCTTATGGATATTCATTTGTTTCATATTTTTGGCTTCATCCTGGCACCCGTTATGATCCGTCTTGTTTATTAATACGTATATGGTTCGGTCACAGAAATGACAACGGTTAGGTTTTTTTAATGTTTAGATTTATTAAGTTACACACCTTGCATTGTGACAAGATCACCATAGTCGTCCCGCGCTTTTTCATTCAAAATTAAAATTTCATAATTATACTTTCGGAAAAAAAGCAGTTGTGGAAATCACTTGCTGTGTAATAAATTGTGCCAATTCTGAAAAAAATGGATATCATTTATTCAATTTTCCAAACAAATATCAACCATTCGCTTATGGAAGGAAGATATGGAACGGCCTCGGTGGAAAATAGATTTGAAGACGCGAGCGAAATTTGTGAGGTACCGACTCATTGAAATTCACTTCTTATAACAGCATCTGATTAGAATGAAACTATATTTAAGGCCCATTTTCAAACAGGAGATGGAATGTCTGTTGACAGTTGTGAAGTCGTGAAGTTTATACTTTCGGATTACAATCTGAAGAATACAAATTGAAATTTCGATAAAATGCTAGAAATAATGAGCAGCAAAGTGTCAAAAGCTTATGATTCCTTCAACTTGGTAGGACGGGTAAGACAGGTTCTATATCTTCATTTCCAGATAAAATGAATTTTCTCGATCTCAGAGAACTTCCTGCAATCACCGCAAACACTGCTCCGAATATGCATTGATTCATTTTCTTGATTTTTTACTGTGGAATTATGATTTTGAAATTATTCGGAGCCATCTAGCAAGGAAATGAAGTTTGTCGTTTTATTTGTCGTCATTCTATTGTCATTCTGTTCCCACCACCGTTACCAGAATGGAACAAACAAAACAACAACAATTGACATAGAATGAGTAGAACTGAATGTAGAAAACTTAACAGGTGGATGCACCTCCATATTAAAGGTCCTACCAATCAAAAAGTGTTCCACTATTGTCGTATGATGTCTATAAGTCACTCTAGTCTCACCTAGCTTTATCCTCCTCTGCTTGAACGTCTTGGCGAACTGCTCGAGTTCCTCCAGGTCCGTCGTCTCTTCGGGCGACGGCTCCATTATTCTCGAGGGCGTCTTGAGGTGCTGCGGCGTCATCCCGCCCGACCCGGGCGTGCTGGGCGTGAGCAAACTAGCGGGAATGGCGTGGGCGTTGTTGGGGGGCGTGGTCTGCGTCTGGTGGGGAATGGGCGTGTTTTGGGGGATGCTGGTGTTGTGCTGGTGTTGGTGTTGGTGTTGATGGGCGGTGGTTTGCTGCTGCGCTTTCTGCAGCTGCTGCAGCTGCTGGGCAGCTTGCGCTAGGTGCTGCACCTGCAAGGAAGCAGGGGGACGTTGAGTTTGAGGGTATTTTGGCTTGTTTTTTGAGGGTGGTAAGACATTAAAATAGCGTTTTCCACTCGCCGATTTACATAGCGCACTAGCACAGTGGCACTGGGCTCGGTTCTTCTGTATAGTGCGGTTTCAGCACAGAACAGTAGAATAGAAATCGAGACTTGGTAGACGATATTTTCTTTGTCATCAGAAATGTCAATCAAAAGTTAAATTATTTATAGCAGATTGATACTACGCATTTGGGTCCGCTGGTCTAAGTAAAATGGATTCATCCGCCTGCTGTGGTTTCTCTATGATCACTGCCGGCAACATTCTTATTAAAAATATGTTTTCTTCGTTGTCAATGATGTGCAATTGAATGTCGATAATAGTGCTTTAGCATTTTTTACGAAGTTACCTAGTATTCCCAACAACATATAATCTCCAAAAGTTCGAAAAAAATTCCTATACCTACCTCCTGTCCCTATCCTCCCTAGGAACGCACGGTGTTCTTTGAACATTATAGGGATTACCTTTCGTGCGCTTCAAGCGATAAATAAAAAAAAATAAAAATTACTGAATCAACAATTGAATGTTTTTAATACCTGCACATCTGAATAGCTCTCTCTAACTTTTAGGTAGTTTTGAATTTTCGGTAAACGCTGTTTCGTGGGGAAGTTCTTTTATACCTCTATCATCACTTCGGAAATGATTGCAATAGACTCTAATGAGACATTCATAAATAATAATTCCAATTTCAAATATTTTCCCTCTCGAATATTTGAACTCGAACATTCAGCAAGAATCGAGCAGGTTTCAAAGCCAGTGGAAATCATTTCCTGACAAAAGTACGCTCTTGAAATTCTCTCACTGCCGAAAAAGTTCCAGCTAGCCACTAGTGCGACGAGTGGAAAACGCTATATATAAGAATGTGTGGCTTTAGTAGAGATATTCAAATGTATCTGTCTGTAACTGCTCAATCCGCTGAATTTATGGATGATCTTTGACGTCAGCGCGTTGATTCTTCAGCTGACGTTGTCTTCTAGGTGTTTATATTGCAGTATAGGGATTGAGCTGTACTTATACAAATGCAGTTGAATATCCTTGGGGAACTGCTATTTGAGAAAAGTTGTGGAGTTATGAAAAAAACATTCTCAAATCATTAATATCAATGAATTTAAGAGGAGGCATGTTTTGATATGTTTGATGGCGTGTGTTCAAGTGTACCTACCTGATGTAGCAAACTTTATTTATGTAATACATGCAGATAACTTCTTCGAAGAAAACTACAAAAACGTAATAAGATTGAATAACATTCATTATAAAGTGTTTCAGAACCAAAATAGCGTCTAAGTTTATGATAATGGTTTGTGTTCCATATATCATGCAGATAAATGTTGGTGTACCTGTGGAATGCAGACGAAACAGGCAAAAAAACATTGATTCAATTCCAAATTAACACACCTGTATCGAATGTGGAGATCTAGTTGATATATTTGATCTAGGGAATCCTTGTAGAAAACCCTTAAACAAATTACCACAATCTTAGTAGGAGAATTAATAGACACAATAAGAAACAAATATCTATTCATCAATTTGCAAGTAAATAACCATGAAATATCCTATACAGAAATATACAGTCACCGGCAAAAAAACCGGTCAGCATCCCAAAGATGATCAATAGGTTCTGAACTGTTGTTGGCAAATATTTGAAAAATCCATACATCTTTGAAACTCTTGTATATTCTCTTGAAAAGAAGATTTCAACGTGAATCAAGAACCATTTTGTTAAGAAGGGGCGAAAAGGGATAACACTTCAATCCAAAACATAATGAAACAGAAGGTTACAGAATGGTTCTGATTAATGGTTAGTGAAAATTGAAAAATGCCATTCTTTCTTAAAATATGTGTATCTTCCCTTCGAAAGAAGATAAAAACGTGAATCAAAAACCATTGTGTTGAGAAGGAATTGCACTTCAATCCTAGGTATAATAACGCTGGTTTCAAATTCTCACCTTTGCCACAGAGCATTAAGAAGTTAATTGTGAAATATTTGTTTTTCCCTGTGTAATAATAATTTTTTTTTCAAGACTTGAAATTCAGGCTAACACTCAGAGACATTGATCATCAGAGTATAATTAGAAAAGTTATAGGCTAATTTTTTTGCTGGCCGTTTTTTTTTCGCCAGTGAGTGTAGATATAGATATTAAATACATATGCCAATATGGAAATATAATATGAAACAGATGAAAGTTGAAAGAAACGTCTTTTATGGATACACATGATTTATCTGGACCACACAAATTGATATGAATAACCTTGATAGACGATATCTTACATTTCAGTCATAATCTTGATGAGATCACGTGATTTTAGTATGCAAGGATAAGATATTCTCAAGGTGTAACTGTTCAGAACATCAATAGAAATAGGTATATCCTGAAAAACCCAAAATCATTTCATAGTAATTGATGAAAATATAGATAACTCGACAACAACTGATAAAGAAGCTCGAATGTAATTTTGATTTAGGTGAATGATTTTCATAAATGTTTTATCTTCACGCACGAGCAATGTTTTCACTTCACGTAGGAATGACTTCAGATCTGCGTCATGCTTCCACAACACGCAAGCGTAATGTTTCCACTTCACGCAACAAATATTTAAATTCGAAATATCGATCTGGCGATTGTAATTAATTCACTTGTGAATTTGTTTTCTTCACGCTGACGCAAGGTTTCCACTTCCATAATTATTGTCCTGTTTATATTTCACGCAATAGGGATGTTTTCATTCCTCCAAGGCGTGATAATACAATTGGAATTACACCATAGATCAACGATTGAAATTGAGGCAATTATGAATGATTCTTTCAGGAAATAATTGAGGTTCTCTCGTTCACTTCATACTAAAACCATATTTTCACTGCAAACATGCGTGATGTTTTCACTTCAAATTATATTATCTTTATTCAAGCAAATGAGCCTCGCACTTCGCAAGCGTGCTATTTCAATTGATATTATTTGGCAAAACAATTCAACGAATGTGATTGAACTAGGGAAAAAGCCAAAGACTTTGAGTTTCTCTCTTTGTGAATGTAATTGAGACATTGTTTTAGATGTATGACAAACTGACATTTATCATACAGGGCGTGGAAAGAAATTCTGAATTGAGAAAAACCCAATCACGAATCTGCGATTGAAGGTCTATAAAAATAACAAGTTTCCATCGTTCAAGTAATTGAGACAATTGTGAATGTTTCTTGAAGAAGAGTATTACTCTCACATCACGCAAGAACAATCCTACTGTATCTTTGCGTGATGTTGGTATTCATTTCACGCAGACGCGATGCTTTCACTTCTCGCAAGCGAGAAACTTTATTTCACGCCGCCTAGATTTGACGTTATTCACTTTAAGCCGGCCTAATGTTTTCACGCGGAGTGAAGCTTTCACTACATGCAAGTGAGACATTTTCTTTCACGCCGCCCGGGATTGACTCTGTCACTTCACGCATGCGAGACATTTTATTTCACGCCACCTAGGCATGACGCTGCCACTTCACGCAGACCTAATGTTTTCACTTCACGCAGGCGAGAAACTTCATTTCACGCCGCCTAGATTTGATGTTATCCAGTTCAAGCCGGCCTAATGTTTTCACGCGGAGTGAAGCTTTCACTAGATGCAAACGAGCCATTTTCTTTCACGCCGCCCGGGCTTGACTGCCACTTCACGCAAGCGAGACATATTATTTCACGCAACCTAGGCATGACGCTGCCACTTCACGCAGACCTAGTGTTTTCGGGCGGCGTGACGCTTTCACTTCACGCAGGATCACGTTTTCGCTCGAGGCGTGACGTCACAACGACTCACCTGATTCTGCAGAAAGAACTGCGCCTGCGAGTTCATCTGGTTGCCGCCGGCCTGCTGCAGCATCGCGAGCTGCTGCAGCTGCTGCAGGCTCTGCGGCCCCTGGAAGGCTGGTAGGCTGCCCAGCATCTGAAGGTGGTTGCCAAAGATACCGCCCAGGCCGCCCAATGCCGCCAATGCCGCGCCCACGCCCGGACTCGAGCTCGTCACTTGCGACTGCGAGGTGGGCGTGGATATACGAGGTTGGTCATTGCTCGCAGTCACCTGGAAATTCAATTGCCGGATTTTATTAAAACAATAAAAATTGTTGCTGAAAAAAAGCCTTGTTAATAGTTAATTTGACAAACTATATTCCATCAAATTTTGATGACTATATACAGGGTATGAATACCAAATTATACACAGTGAGTCGGACTGATAGACTGTTATACCGTTCTGATTTTTTAATATTGCTTCTGGATTTTTTGCTAACAATCAACCTATAGTATATAAGTTTTTTTATTTGGTATACACATGTCCTACATGAGTATTATCTCAGATATCTGATTTAATCAATCAATTTTTATACGTACTTGAAACTTCAATCAAGTTTCGAATATCTGATGACTGATATTTTATCATGCATCATCATTGAATTTGAACTTTTTATTCAATTTGGAAACAGAAGTTTACTGAAACCTACTATAACACGAGTGATCGTATACTATTTGAAATATTAGGTACCAGTTTTTCTTCTCATCATTATACCATGCACACTTAAATATATATTTTTTTATAATTGCAGCAGGAATTTGAAATTTGTCCATATATTTCCCGAAATTTCAAGGAATCGACAACTTCGAAGTATGTCGAACAACTCTTTACCAGAACTGGTGTGTCGTTAAAACGGCAAAGCATTGGAATTCTTTGCTAAAGGAAGTAATTCCAACAACTTTCGTTTTTTCCAATTCAATCGCTGAAAAAAGGCTCATTTGTGTGAATTTCAAAGAAGTTTACATTCCAATTTCACAGATTCATCCCGAATTTGAACGTTGAATCAACTTTTAATTTTTCATATTTTTTCAATTCCTACGAAATGTCAGATATCTGTAATATTTGAAAGAAAAATAAAACACCGACAATCTATCAAAATATCATTGAACTATTTTAAGTTTCTAACCAAAGTTTAGAACAATTTTGTAAAAGTTTCAATAGAACGTTCAAGTTCGAGAAACACGTGAAAAACTAGAATAGGAACAGCTTTTCTTTGTAACCTTCAAAACTCAATGCCCTAGTCAAATTTCAAAATAAATTATTTTTAAAAGTTTTTCCCACATGATGCCAACTCTATGAATGACACTGTATATTCAAATAAGATGATGATTAAGTATATACTCACTCTCTGGAAACACTTGATACAGTTTGTTTGGAATAAAATGTAAATCAATTAATTTCAAACAAGTTGTGTAGACCAAATTAGGAAACAGGTAGGTGTGAAAGATATGAAAATGAAAATATGGAAAAAAACAATATTATATATTCTACGATTCAGTCTTCTTTCGATAAGATAAGAGATAGTATACTACTTTTCAACAAGTATCGACATCGACATAAGGAAAATAAAGTAGGCGCCTATACCTATAGACAATCATACATACAGTAACAGATAATATTTGGTAGATATTCTATATTTTTTTTTTGCTTATTTGTACAACAATAATCGAACAGATAATGGCCATTTTTGGAGACGTAAAATATTTCTCTGAGATCTTCAATTCACAATATTTTCTTATATTGACGTATATCTAGCTGAAGAACGTTCAATAGCTTCAGTATATAGAAAAGGAATATTTTCAGATAAATCATGAATAAAACAATGAATATGTACAGGGTGTTTCATAGGTAAAGGGAAATATTTCAATGGTAGATAGGGGTCACCAAGGTGGTTCTGAAAATACCATATTTGATAGGTCTAAGAGTCTTCATATCGGAGATACAGGGCGATTTATCGATTTCGAATAAATATTCATTCGTCTATAAGTATTGAACTACCCAGTATATTTTTCTAAAATTTGGCATGGAGCTTATACTTGGGACGTTGAATTCATTCACCTATCGGGTGAAGTGAAAATCCAGGTTCGGCTTCAGGAAAAATTTACATTTATTCGAAATATTAAAATAACACACTGTATGTAATAATTGACAAAGTTCATCGAGGGAATCGTGGAGAGGAGGAAAAACTTAACTGGAATTGATGCTTTTTGTTTTCCCGCCACCAATTCTCATCGTAACAATCATAAACAGAAAGCTAAAAGTATGTCAATTTGAAGAGTATATTGAAATTATGAAACCACTTTCAATTATGATTATTTTTTGATATATTCTTGTTGAATGATCGTTCGAAAGAACTTACTCAGTCTCACAGTCTTTATAACAGAGATTCAGGGTGAATTGTCGGTTTCGAATAATTATTCACTCGTCCATATAAGTATTAGACTACCCATCGCAGTAATATTTTCTCAAATTTGGTATTGAGCTTACTTGGGACGATGGATTCATTGACCTATCAGGCAGAATGGCAATACAGGTTCAGCTTCAGGAAAAGTCTCATAGTCTTTATAACAGAGATACAGGGTGAATTATCGAATTATAATTATTTGGTAATATTTCCATTTCGCCTGATAGGTTAATGAATCCATCGTCCCAAGTGAAGCTACATACCTACCAAATTTGAGAAAATGTTACTGGGTAGTTTAAGACTTATGAAGACTGTGAGACTTAGTGAGTTCTTTCGAGCGATTTTTTTGACTGAAATATCAAATAATCATAATTGACACTGGTTTCATAATTCCAATACTCTTCAAATTGGAATATTTTCAACTTCCTGTTTATGATTGTTACGACGAGAATTGGTGGCGGGAAAACAAAGAGCATCATACACAATTCAGTTTTTCCTCCTCTTCACGATTCTTTTTATGTACTGTGTTAATTATTGAATACAGTGTGTTATTTTAATATTACGAATAAATGAAAATTTTTTCTGAAGCCGAACCTGGATTTTCACTCCGCCCGATAGGTGAATAAATTTAACGTCCCAAGTATAACCTCCTCACCAAATTTGAGAAAAATATACTGGGTAGGTCCCTGTATCTCCGTTATGAAGACTCTAAGACTTATCAAATATGGTATTTTCAGAACCACCTTGGTGACCCCTATGTACCATTGAAATATTTCCCTTTACCTATGAAACACCCTGTAGAGAGGGGCCGTTTGAAGTGAGACACATCCTAAATGAATTTGTATATGCCTAAATTTCAATGTAGTATCTCATCTGTAGAGAAATTGACAAAAAATCATTAGGATCACTAATCTTACAAAATATTAACAATTTTCAGAATTCAGTTTATACATAGTGTTATTTCAACAGAAAAAAACACATGCTGTTTAATAATTTTGAAAGTCATAGGTTGTAAGAAGATTTGTTCAGCCAACCGTTTCGCATTCTGGGTACTTACCTACAGAAAACTAGAGTCACTGAATCAGAAAACAACTATTTAAAACAAACATTTTTCAGATATTTGACAAAATGAGGTTATTATATTATAAAGTTTTGAGAAACAGATGAGAACGATGAATGATTCCGATTACTTTTTCCACTGGTCTTTTCTAATCATCATGTTTGACTTAAAATAATCCATTCAGTGTCTCAAACAGGTCCAACGCTCATAAATCTTCTTCGAGTAGCGCCTTCCTCATTTCCACAGGGTGTTTATTCAAAGTGGCCGTAATCAGCTGTGAATTAACCACGGTAATTGCTGGTAGCTCCAGGCGACCCGTTTAAATACGAAACAGTGCTTGCTTCATCATCGATTAACTTCAAAGCAAAATTTATGTACCATTCATCTTCCTTCTTAATTTTACCGATTTCACACTCGACACTTTGCATCTCAATTATTCGAGCTGGATAATTGACGTATCGAAAGTTCGTAATTAACCAGACAAATTTAGTTATCTTCATCATTGTCTTCACTCTATACATTACTCATTTATGGTTATTCAACTCCACTGATATTAGAATTTGTATAAATTGGTTTGGTCTTGATATAGATCAAGTGATATTGTTTTGCCTCATGACAGTTTACAAAGCTTTAGTAGGTAGATAATGGGTAATTTCAGACTATTCACACTCTTTCAATTTTTCTTGTAACACGTTTTTTTTATGTTCTGATTCCCACGAGAAGGGATATCCTGTAATGTTCAGAGAACATCGTGAGAACCAAGGGAAATAAGGTAGGAATTGGTGTTCTTCCTGAATTTCTGGAGGTAATATGCCTCGGGGAAAACCTCCCTTGGCAATGAGTTCCAGAGCGTCGCTGTTCGTTGCATGAACGAGTCTTTGGAAAGAGATGTTCTGCAGGTCTCCAAAGTAACCACGAAGCGGTGCGAAGTCTCAACTCGACGGGTTAATCTCGCGGGGACTGCCAAGGGAGGAACAATTGTTGATATTTCAGAAGGGCAGCGTGCATGAAAATACCTATAAAATAGAGCCAGATCGCCAACTTTTCATCGGTGTTCCAGAGAAGTGAGTGAGTTTGTGAGCGAAGCATCACCCACGAGACGAATTGCCCTTTTTTGGACAGAATCCAATAGTTTCAGGGTATGGTTGGGTGCTGCACAACGGCTGCACTCCAAATATGGGAACAGGACAGGTCGGATCTGTGCCTTATAGATGATAAGCAGTTTTTGGGATGCACTTTTAGCAATTGATCTCACGTGATTTTCCCAAGAAAGGTTATTGCTGATAGTAATCCCAAGCATCGAAATGGATGTCTTCAAAGGTATGATTACTCCTGACATGCTTATGTTGGGCACATAGTGAGATCGGCATGAGAGAAAAGGCATGCTTCTATTTTGTTTGCATTGAAATCTACCAAGTGGTAACGATCGTTTTCAACCAATCTGGTCCAATCACGAACAATTTGATTGATCAGTGGAAACTGGTGGATAATAACGAAAATATATATCAAGATGACCACAGATTAGACACTAAGTGGATAGGACGTTGAATTATAGAACCAATTTTAATACGTCCCAAAAGATATATCATTGAGATATCAACAAAATGTGGGAATGAAACATGGAAATACGATTTTTCAACTGAACAATTCGACATTTTTTGAGTGAGCATTGCTTCTGTGTCAATAGATGAAATAATTGATCAGGTGCAATGGTTTTTTGAATTGTGAAGAATATGAAATATTTTAATTTGTCACATTATTGCATTCGTTGTAGTTAATAAAATGGAGTAGGCAAAACGAGTCTTTGGAGATTTTCTGCTTGCAAAAAAATTAAAAAAATAGCATCAACAGAGAAGGAGAGAACCCTTGAACGCTGGAGAAATACAATACTGATGAATTTACAACAGTGAAAATTTCGAATGTATGTGATTTGAATAATAACTTGGTGCATGAGATATTATTATGCTTCAACTTGGGACCTATACCCTTGTGAATACTCAATGCTTATACTTATGTTTA